GCACATTCCTTTAAGCATACTCATTTATTGAATTCTTTGGGAAGAGCCAGCATAGAAGAAGGGCAAATACTCAGACTGTATTTTGAAACATTCTTTGATGTATTCATCTGGCTCTGAAAAGCTGGTCTAGAAAATGATTTTGTCTGACAAAGTCACTGAGACATTGTGCTTCCCAGTGCCTTGACTAAAAAAATATATCAGACAAGGTTTTTTGGTACTTTTTTCTTGTTCCCTTCAGCTTTATCTGTACTATGTTTGTTACTTTGGGTTAGGTTTTATTTAGCCTATTTCTTTTTTTTGTTACACTTCTGACATGTAACTTCTAGTCTGAGTGATTATTGGCTTTTTTCTTAAATCTATTGAGTCTGTTACATTCTCTATATACCTCTGAAGCCTAAGAGATTTAGTCTGTGACTATGGAAAGGACTGGAGTATAAAGCTGAGTATAATACAGAGAGCAATTTCTTCACCACAACAGTGAAAGTGAATAGATGATCCTTTGTTATTTTTGGTTTATTTTTGTTTCAGAAGTGTTGTGTTAGGCACAGAATTGCCATCATCTCCTTCTTATGTTGCAATTTAGTCTTGATAACTGCAACTTCTCAGCAGCATTCCAGCCCGGTGACTCATAGCAGATGTAAGCCTCCACTCTGCAGAATTTAATAGCAAAAACAATCGCAGCTTGGGAAGGGCTCTGGAATTATTTGCATCAGTTTAAGAAGATTTAACAACTTTGGGTTCTGTCCAGAAGTTAAAGGTAAACATTTAGGGTACCTATGAGGGAAGAAGGAAGACGTATGGCTAATTTCTATAGTTATGGTTTAAAAGTAATTTGTTTTTTGAAGGCCATATAACTGGTGCAGTATTGATAATGATGTATGAATGTTTTACCAGGATCTAGGTATTTTCCTGCATTTCTAGGTAGTTAATAAACCCAGTATTTGAATCTGCAGTTTCTAAATTTGTAATACTATGGGCTATACGAACAAGGCTGCTTTTAGAACCTAAAAGTAAATAAAATCGTGACTGAGATGAGGAAAACAGGGCAATTTTTGTAACACCACCAAATTTAAACAAAGCCAAATCTGTGCATGAGTTTAATAATTTGAATTTTAAGAAAGCAAACAAAAAATTTCCAGTTATTTTCTATCCTTTCAGCAGATTCTCTCTTACTATTATTGTATTTATTAGCAATGCAAGTCTTATTGACACTGTGCCAACAGAAAGAAACAGGCATCTGTATTCCATCTAGTTTGCTGTCTCTTAAATTCAAAAAACATAAGAACATTCTAATCATTCAAAATTTTTATAGTACAGAACTTCTTTAATGTCATCAAATGTATTCAGTAATTTGGTATTTAAAGACTTGGAAAAAATATCAGATTCAGGGGAAATTTGAATATAGGATTGACTGTCTGTGTATCCTTTAAAAAAGCCTAGGCACAGAGAAGAAAAAAGATATCTTTCTAGAATTTTTATTCCATAGCTTCAGAAAAAAATTTCTGCCTAACTGTACAATGCATATTCCAGGTGTAATCTTGGAATAGTAAATGAGTAACCCCAGGGATAAAATTTCAAGGTTTCAAAAGAGTTGCACTTAAATTTAAATTGTTTCAAACAGAAAGTGATTTTTTTTCAGCTAAGTGTTAAGGGCTTGTGTTTCAACTTGAAAATATAATACCAAGTTTTTCTCACTGTAGCATATGGTGTGTGATAATTAATCCACATGTGCACTGTCTGAGATTAAGATTTTCCTGGAAAGGGATATCCCCTGTACAAATTTGTGGGGTTTTTTTTTCCTTTTTGTTAAATCAACACAGGTCTTGGAAGTCTCTGAACAGTTGTTAACTCTTGAGTTCATCTGTGACTGATTAAAATTTGTAATTTTTTGCAGGTTTTTTGAGGTAAAGTTTTTATTCAGTTGTGTACTGTCAGCAGAAAGCTATATAACAAGGGTGAATATTTAAAGGACTGAAGAAATTTGTTTAAGAAACTGACTTTCAGAGGAGTCTTCCTAGAGCAAGATGTTAAGCTTCCCTTGAACAGAACTTTAGCTTTCCCTGTTACTGAATACTGTGGATGTGCACCTTCAGAGAACTGTCACTAACACAACCTCTACTGAAACTTTTTTATAGAAATGTGGGTAACTAAGTAAAAAGTTACCCACATTAATTCCATGTCCAAAACTGATGATTTAGTGTGCCAAAGTGCTTTGAACGTGTAAGGGGCTTGACCCTATTTACCACTTTTCTTGTCACTGTAAAGTTGACCACTCAGTGAATCTCATTCACTGCAACTGTGAGATAGGCAAACTACAGGAGTTTATGCCTGCTGAGAATCTGGCTTCAAGGAGTGAGGTCCAGGACAAGCACTGCTGATTGTCCTCTGACTTGTCTAGGTCTACCTGCTGGGCAGTGACAGAAGCAGAGAAATGCTTTTAAGTCACCCATTTCCTTTCAGACCTTGAATTTTCAGGTCTCTTCCTAGTCTTTTCTACCTTCTCCCTTTCTTTGGAGGACAGCAGCATAAAGATTTTGGTTTCCCCTAATTACTAGAGATCCCACTTTGGGTTTTTTTTTACCCTGTGTCCTCTCTGTTTCAGCCTTCCCTGTTTCTGACTGGTAGATCTGCCAACTGGAAGCCTCAGTTTCTCCATCTTTATAAGCCTTTTGTCTTGCATTCATAGTGAGCTTATATTGTGAGTGGCTACAGGATCAATACTCCATCTTGAGCTTACTATCCAGTTTTCTTTCTTAAAAATGAAACTCCAGGATTAAAATATTTTCACCAATTTATTTAAATTGTCAAATTTAGAAATTTATGAGACTATGATTGTATTTTGCCATGTCTTTTGAGCATGTTTTAGTTCATCACTAAAGCTGACATGCTGTCTCCCAAGTGCAGCCCTTATGAAGTTTCCCACAAGAGGAACATTCTATTGAAAGAGGCATCCTTAAATAGAAAGGTGACTTCATCTGAAGATAACAAACTAAAGCAACTGCACACACTCTAAACTCCTCAGGTATTCATTCTTTTTGTGCAGCTTGCTCATAGCAACTCATACATGCTGTAAGGGACTTACCTGCCTTGATTGAGCCTCACAGTGTTCTATTTTTTTTTTTTTTTACTAACACAAATTTCTCTGAACAGTATCCAAGATTGACTTGATAGTCTTTTCTAAAAAAATAATACTATTGTAAAGTTGTGTAATCCATTTAAGATTGGGGTTTATTTTAAGATTGATTGTGGTATTCAGGCATTCACAGTCAGTGAAATCATGATAGAACAGTTCAAATACTAAGACTAATGTGAGGGAAGAGACTGTGGTTTCATAATTAAAATAACAGGGATGAAGCAGAGTATATGAAATATGAATCTTTCAGTGAAGAAAATAGAGTCCCTTTTCTCTTAGAAAACATATTTAAAATATGCAAGGATTCAGGCTAGCAGTTAGCAGAGACAGATCATTTGCAGGCTGTCCAGATAACTAATGTACTCTTTGGTCACTCCTGTCACAGCCAGTGTCATCCCAACAGATGGCAACAGCTGCTTTCAAAACAGAAGTGACTGTAAAAGCTGTAACTACTAATGTAATTTTACTAGCTGTAATTTTAAAAAGCATCCTAAGTATTTTATAGGTAAGGGTTGAAATCTGAGATTTGTTTGGGTTGTAATTTCTGGTTTTGCATGAAGTTTTCAGATATTGGTGAAAATACAGTTGGACTTGTCCAATTTTGCACAAACTTAAAAACATACTTCTCTTAAGCACCTTGCTTATCTCTGTACTGTAAAAAGCACAGTCTGCCAAAGTTCCACTCATATTTTATATAAATTCTTGTAGAAACATGAGTGGAAATTTTCATTAAGTTGGTTTTTCAATAAACACATGCTGGTATTGAGTCATTAATCACTAATAGAAGTTTTACACTTTGTCTAACCACAAATGCTTTAAATGTGTCACCATCCCTGGAAGCATTCAAAAAATGTAGAGGTGGTCCTTAGGGACAGGCTTTAGTGATGGACCTGTCAATATTAAGTAAAGATTCAACTTGATGATCATGGAGATCTTTTTCTTAATAACTCCATGGTAAGAAAAGCAGAGTAGACACATATTCTGGTTTAATTAGGTGTTAACAATGCTAAATGAAAATATTCATAGTTACAAAAGAAAAAAAATTCCTCTGTTGATTGCTTGCAGAAGTTTAAGATTAATTCAGAATAGTTTATGTATAATCTTTGTAAATATTTTACTGATTGGAGGCCTTGTTTTCTCTTCTGTGAAAAGCACACGTCTGTCTATAAAAATGATTTTGAGGTTCTATTAGCTAACCTTTGCAAGGCAGTCAGATACAGTGGTGATTGGTTTGGCCCATAAAATAATTATCATATGAAAAAATGGAGTTTAAAATGCTGTGGGTCATAAAGTGCAAAGTATCCATAGTTATCAGTTGAAAGATGCCATTCTTGTTACCAGTAGAATAAAAGCTGATAACTATTTTGGATTTTTCCCCCAAATTACTCTATGACAGTAAAATTATCTTGATACTCTCCTGGTGCACAAATCTTTAGATCAAGGACAACTAGCCCAACTCACAATTTAATTGTATATGATGGGGATCTTTCTCACAAATTTTAAAGACCAACAAGGAATATTTCCCTGTTCTTCAGCTTGCTTAAAATGTTTCTGCTTTTGTCTTGAAAATAAAATGTGTGCTTTTGAATCTTGAATAGCTGTCCTATAATACAGAGAGAGCTCTAATATAAAGTGGCCAAAAAGAATAAATTATCATTTTACTGGCTTTTGGAGTTGTATTTTATCAGACTATTTTAGACATTTATAATAAATCCTGCATGCGCACTGTATTTACAATTTGCAAGAAAAGAATTATAGGTTAAATAGACTATTTTTAATAAGATTTAAGATGTCAAGTGTAAATTTTTTGTTTTAATGATTAAGTTAACTAGTGTTTCCTTTGTTCCTCTACTTCACAGCTTCCAAAATGAAGATTTTGATAATGATTGATTTTGTCCTTGCAGCTAGCCTGATGGATGTCATTGGCAGCTCTGTAAGTTCTAGTAATTAAATATTTCTCTAGAGTTTCTTCTAAATACTGCATACCTTATCCTCCATAGTGCTCACAATGCACATCCCCTCCATTGTGCTCACAACCTCTACAGACAATGGCAGAACCTTTGATGGAAAAGATTAGAATTCATTAAAAAATGAAAGAATAAGGAAATATCTTCAAATAGTGTTTAGTGGGGACAAGTTTCCAATAATGAAAGAGGAAACAAATGCGTAAGTTTACAATGGAAGGTCCATCACTAGGTAATGGCACTGAAGAAAGAAATCCTTTCAGTTTATGACTGGATCTGATATGAAAAAGGAGACAATAAATCTTTCCTAAAACAGGTATCATATGGTGCATGGAGGCACATTGTACAGAAGGCACACAATTACCATTCAGGTGTAATGCAAACTCAGAATTTCACCTGTAGTTTTGAGCAGCGTAGTTACAGAAAGGCAAAGCACAGGAACTCCTAAAGCAGTGGCTGCAGCAGTGCTATTTCTGGGCACTGACACCTGACATGCAGAATCTGTCCATCTTTTTTCACCTTGTCCACTGGCCCTACAACTTTTTCTCAAACAAAATCCATAACTTCATATTCTTACTTGTTTCCATGTAACTACATTGTAGTTCACACTCAGAAACAATGATCAAAGCTCCTTCACTTCAAGCTCCCAAAACCCTCTCCTATACATTCTGTTTCTCCAACAAAAACCCTAATAAAATCACACTTACTCCACAGTTTAAAATACTTCTAGCCTCACCAATGCTGCACTGCATGTCATGGCTGTCCTTACTAGTTTTATATCCAGGTCCTAAATAGCAGAGACCTAAAGGGATTGAATTCTTGATTCATAATCGCCAAGGTGGAAGTAGTTGCTGAATTTACATCTATTTGTTTGTGGATTACATTACCTTATGGAAAACTTTTGTTCAGATAAGTAGCTTTATAGAGGCAGAATGGGAATGACTCTCTAATCACTTCTGTTCAGTGGAGAAAAATATTATTAATTTCTGGAGAGGCCTACTGAGAAAAGAGGCATCACATTCAAATGCATTTATATATTTTTAATTATTGTTTTTCATTTATAATATTTTAGACTTAGCTGACCTTCTGAGTAAAAACTGTGAATATTCAGAACTTCATCTCAAAGTTTTCACCTTTTAATCTAATTAAAACACTAATTTCAATATAGAGTTATTTTGGAGCTAATTCATATTATTAAAAGTAGACGAAATAGCACCACAGGTAAAAACCTTGTATTTTTATAGTTTTAATTAAGTATTCCAAGTCCAATTTGTAGCAATAATTTTAATTTAATTTAATTTAATTTAAGGTCACTGGCTGCTAAATAATTCACACAATAATGAAAGTGAATGCACATTAATTGCAGCAGCTGGTTAAATGTAGGATTGTGTGCCCAAGAGCAGAGCTGTCAGCAGTTGTTAGATAATTGCTTCTCAATGTGTAGTGCAAACAGTTGCTTCACTGAAACAGACAGAACAGGTTGTGTTCAGTCTGGTTTCAGTCAGTGGACACCACTGTCCACTGGAGATAGCCACAGTAAAATCCACATTTTCTTGAGTATTTCAACACTGTAATGGTTTAACTTTGGTCCAAACATAACAAATGGAATAGCAATATGTGAGAACTGTAATTTGCATTTTGCTTTTTTATTACTTCAGCTTTGCACTGGTTTAACTTCAATGGTTTTTAAAGGATTATCCTGTGAAAAAAGGTGTAGCAGCACATTGCAAGAACAGTCTGGTAAACTGAAGATCTAAAAGCCACATTGATCCAATTGAAGTTACAGTTACCTTGTCATTATCCCATGAAAAAAATATACATGGAATTCCAAATATGAGAACTGTGGTTTTGCTGTTCAGCAGCAGAAGTCTAATGGGATTTGTCTGGAGTTGACAGGGAGACATCAGTGAGAATGCTGAAGCCAGGGAGAGAAGAGAAAGTATCAGATACCAGTACTTTTCATATGTAGGTTACTTTCAAAACTATTTCTGCTCAAGCATTTTTCTTTTCTTTTCTTATGCTGTAATTATTCAGTATGGCTAGTCAAATCTTGATTATCACTTCTAATTTACTCTCACTTCCTAAGCATTAAGAGCTTAAAACCTTTCAAATAAGGAAATTGCAATGTGTAGTGTAGATATATCACTGTTCACCCCGTCATGAGTGTATTGTCTGCAAAGCAGATGAGAATCAGCTCATAGTTACTAATTTTTATAAATTAATTCATATTTTAAGTAAATAATAACAAAAGATGGATTTTAAATGCAAGTTTAAGAATAACATTTAGAGACACAGCCTGTTGCAGACTTGTGTTTAATTTGGCTCAAAGGAAAGGACCTTTTGTATGGTATACGAAGTGGTGTCATACTGAATTTAGATACCAAGTTTTTCTAAGGTAAGATACATTTTTTTCAAGAAGTTCTATACTTGTACTATATAATTTAACCACAGCAGGAGAATGGCTTGTAGCAGTATGAAAGGGGAACTGATAGAGGCATTTCTTTCTCCTGAAAGAAACACGTGTAGCTGCCTGTAGCTGCCTCTCCCAAATGCCCTGTCCCTTGCTCTTGCCAGAATGGAAGGTAGCTCTTTGTGGCTCAGATCTGCCACTGTCACAGAGGTTGCCCACCTGAAGTCCTGTCTGTGAAATTGTGAGAGCCTGGCAATGGGGGCCACCCTTTCCAGGACTCTCCTATTGCATGTTACCATGTTCTTCAAGCTTGTGAGGGATGAGTTAAGACTGATACAGGCTATGCTTCTCAGTAAAAATGGTAACTATGGCAGGGTGGCTTCTTTATCACTCTTAACTTAGTATGATTAGAATAAATATTTGGTCTGACCGGGATAATGGGATTTTTTGGACAGCTTCTCTTTTATATTTAGCATTAGCTCATCAGGGTGAGCCTGGAAATATTTTTTCAATACTTTTTTAATTTATTCACTCTTTCTCAATCCACCTATATATCTCTTTCTCTCTCTCTAAAGCTCTGCAGTCCTCTGTTATTTTCTGTATTCACAGAGGCCCAGACTGACTATTTGCAGTCACCTGTCAAGGAAGCCTCTTCTGAATCTCCCATTGAATCAATTCCCACTGAGTACAAAATTCAGCTTTTGTGAAGGGTTTGTATGAAGCTGCAGACACAATTGAGACAACCGCCCTGGAGAGGCTGCACAATAAATAGTACATCTTTTCTTTGTAATATGCAACATGTCCCACATTAGCCAGTGCATACAGTCAAGTATCATTGCTCTAAGCCACTGTAGCAACTTTGCATGCCCATGATTTACCTATTTTCTTCTCTTGTTTCCAGCTAGAAGAAAAGGATGATATGCTAAGCATCTCGTATAGCTATCAACAACTGAAAAAATATTTTCAAGCGAAGGTTCTTAAATCAGATAGAACTTTTGGGATATTACTGGGTCGTTGGCCGCTGTGTCCCTCTAAAAAAGATGTTTGTGCCTCTGGCCCTACAGCGTCCCCTTGTGGGCAAGCATCGCCGCGGTACCCCGGCAGCGCCGGGGCCACTCAGGGCTCCGCGCCGGGCTCAGCACAGCGGCCCGAACTGCCCGGCGTGGGCAGCCCAAACACAGCGTGCTGAGCCTTTCCCTCTCGAACGGGTCGCTGACAAACTGCCTAGTTTGTCAGAGACCTGAAAAAATACGTATTTTTAAAATATGTATATGTATATTTCCCCCCCCCCCATTCTTTTATTTCACTGTGTACTTTCGATTGCAGTAAAGTATGAATCCAAGCAAGTCTCTGATACACTTCAGTAATACTTAAGGCAGAAGTCTGTCCTCAGGATTGTTCTGCACAGTCTTATGATCAAATTTTTCAGTTGAACTAAATATTGCAGAAACAAATAATTTCATTTGTCATGTTCATGGAAGTGTTCATGGACAATGTGTGAAACCTGAGCTTGATGCAAATTAAAGTATGCAGACACCACTGAGGTGCACCTCACTGTGCACTGCAGTATGCTATTGCAGACATCTCTGTAGTTTGGTGTGATAGGGCAATGTTCTGAGACATCAATTCTTCCATATAAATGGCAAATATTGCAGGTCTACATGTAAATAATGTTCCCTATGAATAAGGTAGCACCAATTTAGAACTACTGCAAATTTGATCTTACCTGTCAGATTTCCAGAAAGTCACCCTTTGATTTTACCTTTACAGTGCTAGTTGTGCTCTTTTACAAGCTACTAAACTGTGCTTATATAAAATTTCAGTGTTACTGATGCAAAACCTCTGTCATGTTTCCAAAGACTTTTCTCCCTCCCACTGAAATCAAGTTTATTTAATATATATTTTAAACCATACAGACTGTTTTAAATTAAGTTTTCCAGATCAGGTTGTGTTCACCTTGGCTATTTTACCATAGTCTTTAATCTAAAACCAATTATTTATTGCTCAGCATGCATTCAGCATGTCAGAATTTGGAACAGCTATTTCACTATTCCAGTCCTTGAGGGTCAAGTAGTGCTAGTGTATCAGAATTACCACATTTCTCACCCACTCTGCATGGCAAAATTAAGTACAAAAGTCACAGCACAACATTGACTTTAACTTTTGTTTTTACTTTTATTTTTTTACTTTGAATATGTATATTCAGGGCTTCTTAGAGACTATTTTAGCATGCCAAAAATGAGCTTAAAACTTAACAGTATTTATATTGGCAATGTTAGGATTCTTATCATAAGAAGTGTGTAACTTAAAAGCATTCAAAAATGCACTATGAAGTTGAAAACATATCCATGTAGATTGCAGTTCTTTAAAACTCTTTAGAACCTTCACAATATTAGTAGCAAGCTTCTCTGGATAGAAAATCTCTGTGCATGGAAGATGATAGAGATATTTTAGTGTTTTTCCCCAAAGTCCCTGCTGCATCTTTGCAGTTAGAGTTGGCAGCACTAAAGAGAAGGTCTCTTTGCAAAGTGTTCATAATATGTATGTTTTATATATTACATGCAGTAACATATGAAATAATTTTAAACAAAGTAGCAACAGAGATGGAAGTCAACATAGTGTCTGTGAGAAATTGTGACCAAGATATTTTATTCAAGTTTAATTTTATTTATGTTTTGGTTGGTTGGCTCTTTGTGTCACATGTTAAATACCACATAAAATTTGTTGATTTTACAATAAGCTATGTTTTCCTCTCTAGGATTTACAGAAATGTTTTCAAGAGCAAATACGACTTCAGGGCCAGGTGAGGCTTCTGGAGCATCGTGTGAAACAGAAGCAGTTAAAAATTATACAACTCTTAGAGAAGAAAGAGATTCAGTACAGAGATTCAGACAGAGAAGATGAAAACAGTGTCATTGACTTGGAAGGAAAAAGACAGTATTCAGGTTAGAAATGGAGCTATTCTTTTCATTTCCCTTCATTGTAATGATACCCAGAAGCTTTAGCACAATTGGGCCTATTGAGATATTGTTTTAAAAACTCTTTGTAGAATGTTTGTTTAAAACACAGTGCTCAGCTTTTACCTGGACCTGTTGTGCAGGGAAAAATTGCTAATGTCAGATTGTAGTAATCAAATCAGGATTTAAGAAGTTTACTGATTTATTAGTAGTGCATAATTTGAAAACAATCAGTTAACAATCATAACTTAAAAACAAGCATAAATCTCAGCAATACAACAGATAAATGCCAATAATAGACATTTACAAAATGTTAATCAGGAGTTTCAGATTTCTAAATGCCATTCTTTGACTAATGTCAGAAGTTCTAGCAATCTCAAAAATAACTAACTAAGGGTTAGTTCATATTCATACATTCAAATGGTTGCCTGGGTTACAAGCAGCTGACTTTGTTCCAATCTGTAAAGTCCCTGAGACCTCCATATTTACACACATAAGCCTGGCATTATGACATCTGCATCTCACTTTAATAACATTTTCACTGAGTTGGATTCAGCTCATGACATCACAGCTTTAAATCCTGGTTTAAAGTTGTTTTTCTAATTTCACCAGCACTCTGGTGGTGATCCACTCCTACAGTGGAAGGCTTATTATAAATACAGTGGAAGTAACATCATCCAAACTCTTGATATAATAAAACACCATCCAAAACAACAGTTGGATTGAAAATACAATTTGGGAGACTGACTTCTGGGTGGTGTTTGTTTCTAGCTGTCCAGTGCTAGAAAGTCTTAACTACTGTTATTTTTAATAGCCTTGATTGAATATGCTTGTAGTGCTTATGCTGCTGGAAGAAATACCAATATATATAACATTTGATCTCAAGGCATCAAATATAACAAAACACCATTAATATGAAATAAAAAGCAGTTGTAAATCTGACATAAAAATTTTAGCTGTGTATTTATGTACTCAGCATTCTGGAACACTTTCTTTTTATTATTAGAGCTGACTTACTTGTTACTGAAAAGATTATTAAAGCCACATTTCTCTGAAAGATATTTGTCCTTTCTTAGCATGTGCCTCAATTATGCCTTTTACGATGTTACTCTAATAAACAGATCTAACTTGTTCCTGTTTCTGATTATTTTTTCCCCCATTATTTTTCAGCTTGGAAAAATGCCAAGCTTTTGGCATTTTTCTTTACAGCTTGGAAAATGCCTTTCCTGCTCATACTGTATTATTTTCTTAAACTGCTGTAGCATTTTAATATCAACAGAGCTGGATAATTTAAGTTAGATAGTGAGGGGGAAATTCCATACTATATACACCTGCTAAAAATTAAGATATGCTTGTGTTTTGCTGACCTACTAAGAAATTAATTTTCTCTAAGCCAACCACACATTCTCTATAAAAACAACATAGCTGTTATTTAAATCACGTTTTCTATTAGAGTTTATTCAAATTCTGGCATAGCTATTTGTTTTCAGTATAAAGTGTTTATTTTCTATTTCTTATCTTCACTGACACTTTCACTGAAGAGAAATGTAATAGTTTATAAAGTTCCAAGCAGGCCTGGAAGTTCAGCCAATTCAGAGAATTCCTTAAAGTTAATCAGCTCTACCTTAGCCAGGAAAAACAGAAATGCTGAAAATTATATGTCTTTTTTGTATGACTGCCTGATGTGGATTACATATAAACAAAGAGCTCATTTCATTTCTTAATTCCTAGAGGAAAGAATATAAGATTATACAATTACATTGCTGTAATATTTCTATGAGCTCTGAATTTTGTTATTGTTGTAAATTATATTCATCAACAGCAATGCAGACCAGACTGTGAATGGTGACAAGCCAAAGTGGTATCATTTTACACATGCACTGCACTTTTTGAGCTTAGTCTTCTGTATTCTTTTGCTCCTATTTGATAGAAGGGACAGGAGAATCAGGCCTTGCAATTGTTTCTGGTTTTAACAATGGAGATTTCACACTTTTGTTTCTGGCATTTCTGTGAACTTTCTGGACATAGAAGTGCATGTTTCTTTTTGAAAGTTACTGTATGTTACATGTGAATTTAAGGTTGTAACAGGATTCTAATGTGGATGATACCACTGTAAATTAAAGTGACACCACTTAAAACAGAGGAATTATTTTGCTAGTCAAGTAGAAACAAAAATTGTCATATTTCACGATGTGAAGATATTATTTCAAAGATATATCAAAATAATTACAGGCCAGCAAAGCTTTAGAGCAACACAAGTACAAAAAAATACCCAAAAGTCAAAGAAATGTGTTTGCAGAGACATTTCATTTTCTTAGTGTGGTTCATATGTGACTTCTACATAACATGACTTGATTACTGTTACTGACTTGATTTCTGATTTTGCCATTAAGTACAGGACTAAAAATGTTGTGTCTGATTAATGTTGTGTGAACAGATTGTGCAGAAATCTACAATGAAGGCCATAAGCAAAATGGATTTTATAAAATAAAACCAATCCAGAGTCCCAGAGAATTCTTTGCATTCTGTGACATGTCTGAAGGAGGTGGCTGGACTGTGTTTCAGAGACGTTCCGATGGCAGCCAGAATTTTGATAGGTAGGTACTAGATTTGGTAATTAAAACTGGAAACAAAGTGAAGAAACATTAACCAGATGGTGCTAAGTTAAATCTGAACTTTAGAAGTACAGGAGTAAGTTGTTATCCTAGATAGAAGGGAGGAATGGTTATTCTGTGGAACAGCCTCCAGATGGGATACCACTTCTGGTTCTGGCTGTCTTCTGTGAGACATCCGTTCTGATCTTTTTCTGACAACTTGTGTATTTGACACAAGGACATTTCAGTGTCAAATGCCTTAACAACTGCTGGAGCAAGGACTCTTAATGATGAGGAAAGATTGTCTTCTGCAATTAGTAAAAAAAAAAAAAAAAAAAAAAAGGAGAAACTTTTTTACCATGAAAAGAGTCAGCAGGTTCCCCAAAGAGAATGTGCAGTCTCAATCCTTGGAAGTTTTCAAGATCTGAACAGACAAGTCCTGAACAAGTCCTGATCTCATGGCTGATTCTGGCTTGAGACTGACACTGGACTAGCTTGCCTCCTGAGGTTCCTTCTAGTCTGAGTTAATCTGTGATCTAGAATTGTATTATAAAACATCCAAATAAACTTGATTTTTTGAGAAATTAGTAATTTATACCCATTTCAGACTCTGGGCTGACTATGAAGAAGGCTTTGGAAATTTTGTTTTGAAAAATGGTGAATTTTGGCTTGGAAACAAAAATCTTCATTATTTGACTAATCAAGGTAAGATTTGTATTGTAACAATAGTCTAATTGTTTCTGTTTCTTTGCACTTTCCAGGCAATTTTTTTGTTTCCCCTTTTTGTTATCATAAATCCTGAGTTCTGTTGTTAGTCTGCATGGACTTCTCTAAGTTTCAGAAAAAAACACTTTTGTATATACGTTTTCTAACAAAAGGTTCAAAACTGTCCTTAGGCCACTGGCATACTGAGAGCCCCTGTGAAACAGGGAACAGGAGACAGGAGTCTACCTTAAAATAATTGTCTCTATCCATTTTCCATCAGCATCACTAACAGTCCAGAGATGGGTATATGCTGTACCAAGACACTTATTCGGGGCTTTTTAGCTGTGTGGGCTATTACATGGAAGTAATTCTAGTCCAGTCCTGTTGATGAGGCCAGTAGTAAAAAGTTATTTCCAAATTCTAATAGCTACTCAATGTAAGCTAACTTCTGCTTTGTTGTAGAATGCTGCTGATACAAAACTTACCCACTGGCTTAGCAGGCTAAATCAGTGCCACCAGGATGTGATCCTAGTATAACTTTATTTATTTTCAGAGTATAAAAATCTGATTTTCATAGGTGAAAATTTATTGATGAGTTTTCACTATGCTTTCACTACCACCTCAAATATTGTACTAAAATGTAAAACCTGTAAAGCCATCTTTTTTTACAATTTTTTCCCTACATTTAAAAATTTGTATTAAAATAATTCTAAAATTTTCTAGGCTGAATAGAATTCACTCAGGTGAATAAGGCAAAGAATAGCAATATATGATTTACTATGCATAAAGAAAGAAGATAAAACCCTATAAAATATGCTGAGGTGATAGAGATTCATGCTGAAAACATTTTCTTTTTAGCTTCTACTGTAAATCCCAGTTCTGAAAAGCAATAAGATAGGCTAGTTCAACTAAAATAATTTGTATTTTTTTAAAGGGAATTATACTTTAAGAATTGATCTAACTGACTTTGAAGGAGAACGACGTTTTGCACAGTATGCAAGATTCAGAGTTGCAGGAGAAGAGGTAATAAAATATTAAATGACTAAATGTTTTAATGAAAATGTGGATTCTGTAGGCAAACAATAAACACACAGGTTCCCTAATTTCCATAAAGATTTGTGTAGAACCTTAATTTAAGGCTCTAAACCATATTTTCTTTCTTACACATGCCTATAATTTTCAAATACCTAATAAACGTGGTTTATTCTGATACATTAATTTCATACTTTCTGTAAGTGATATGAATAATTTGGGTTAATAAATAGATAAAAGCAGTTTTTCTATGTTTGTTGATATTACCAACAATAATGTGTTGCTCTAGGACACGAAATAAAACAACGGGGACACTGGAATCTCCAAGGTTAAAAGAACGACATTTAATTTCTGACTCCAACATTTATAGATTTTCAAAAGTGACAGTGAATTGGAAGGTGACAGTGCCACCTCTCCAATGACACTGGACAAACCAACAGTCCATCAAATTTCCCCTCCTCCAGAAAAGAATGCAAAACAATAAGTGTTTACAGAAGAGTGCATGAGAAAGTTCGTTACAAGAATGTAAACATCAGAAGGCTTAGAAGAACTTAGAACAGGGTGACAATCATGGTAGAAGATATTCTGATTTGCTAATGTATACTGCTAACTAGCCCTAATGTTGTTTTTATTAAGTCATTTATACATATGGTTAATGACAAATTTTATCCCTGTTAAGCATCTCTACAGCCTTTCAGTATTAAGGACGTTGTGTCTAAGTGACAGGACATTTTTTAGCATAAAAATAGCAGCAAATGGAACAGGCTAGGTTCTTTGTGGTTTCACTCTCTGACATGCTAATGGCTAAAGACATACAGGAATTTAATTTTCTTTTCTTTCTTCACATTTTTTATTAGCATTCTTATGAGATGAGTTGTGGTGAATACTCTGGTACAGCTGGTGACTCCCTCACGGGTGGATTTCATCCTGAAGTAAAATGGTGGGCTGATCATCGGGGAATGAAATTCAGTACTAGAGACAGGGATAATGACAACTATGAAGGGAACTGCGCTGAAGAGGAAAAGGCTGGCTGGTGGTTTAACAGGTATTTTGATTTCATATGGGTACTGTCAACTATTCTGCTCCATGGGTATTCATAAAATAATAACATGTGGTAGAAGATAGATTGGGATTGTTCATTTATTGGCAACGTGCCCTTGTCCCCTAGCAGATCTCAGTGCTGGTAAGACTGAGGCTCACCTTAGAAGGGACAGCACTTACTGTGCAGCTCAGGCTGGTCTGTGATAATGGCATTTGCCACAGGTCATCTTTGTTATCAGGCAGTGAGGAGGAGATAATTCTGCCCCTCTGAGGTAAATAGATTTTACACAAGTAGGTCATGTAGAGTTTGTGATACATCCCTGCTGTACTTCACTCTCACATTTCTCTTGTGTTGCACTAGACCAGATGTGGCAGCACTGCAAATATCTGACAAGCTAAACTAGTGCCAGGTTATCAAGACTCATTTTTTTCACCTCACTTCACTGTACCTCACTCTTGTTATTCTTTCCAAATGGAGATGGTAATGTGTCTACTCAGTTTCTGTCAGTGTGCATGTCTGGACTGAGTGAAAGATTTTTTAAAATAGGGTTAAATAAGGGAATTTAAAAATTCTACTGACATGCAATATACCAAATCAAAAATAAAGGATAAAAATGGTAGCCTTAGCCTGTACAGATCAGCTGTGCTCTTTCCTGTAATTAAGTAAATAAATATAGCCATGAAGAGAAGCTCTGCAATCAGCTGTGTAATAGAGAGGTTTAAAATACAGCTCAGGGAGGCACACTACTCTCTCACTGTGATCTCAGTTCCCTTGGCAAGAGGTGCCAGGCTGGATCAACTCCATTGTTTCTGTTGTATCATCCTTTGTTTCTCTTTTTAACTCCTCATTTGCCAAATTCTGTTTTCATAAGCAGTCAGTGACCACCTTAACTGATATGATGTAGCTATTAACTCAGTGTTTCACAATTAAGTATTTATTTTAATACATTTTAATATATTTGCATGGATAGTCAGCCAGCAGAGTGTCTGAGACTTGAAAAAAGTCACATGTAGACAATGGTTTTTTGCATTTCTCAGGAAAACTAAGATATAAAAGGGAAAGGCAACTATTTTGGAGCTTCTTTTCCCATGAAATCAGAGCTTTTGTAAATTTAAAGGAGTATCTGGACCTCAAATCACATAAAACTGATATCATACCGTGGATTTCATTAAGACTGAATTACCAATCACTTTTAGACCACTGAATAAGTTTTTTGCCTTTTAAAAACTTTTTTCTAATATTGGATTGATCTGGACAAAAGAATGACCACTTTGCAAACATAGCTGCACAGCGGAACTTGACAGTTATTTATACCTTGTAGTTGGTGCTACATAACTTCTAAAGATAGCTGACTCCTACTGGGCTAGCTCTTATTATGGTTGTGTAGCTCATGCTCTTAAAGTGACAGTCTAGCTTGATAATGAAAGTGAGTTAGTAATAGTGTCATTTCACTGCTTTGTTATTGAATTTTTAATGTTAAGCCTAACATAAAACTGAACATTGCAAAGTACTAGAAAATGTCAGTATCATTAAGTCCTACTCAAAAGGACAGTACTGGCAGAAAAAGAAAAGCACTCACAAACACATATTTGTCATGCACAGATTAGCAAATATAGAAGGAATTAGTGCTCTTGGCTGGTTTGCATAAGAGCTCCCAGCTATGAAGGAATTGTTTATAGCCAGCTCTATGCTATCAGGACTAATGAAATACAGAAAAGCCCAGATAATATGAAAACCAAGGGACGTGACATGAGTGAGGCCACATGGAAGTAGCTCAGAGTTAGTTTCAAGCCACCAGTCTCGCTCCAGCTTAGCACTTGTTGTAGCACTTGTTGTCCTGGACTTCTGCAGAAAAATCACCCCTTTTGTAAGCAGAGATTTTTATCTTGAATGCAAGTCCACAGAGCTGGGTTCACTCTGGTACTACGTGCAGGTCATAAGCTTTCCAGTACCCAGGGTATTGCAAAGCTCATAAGTAGCTCATAAGTAGTGAGATAAAGTTCATAAAGGTTCATAAGTAGTGACAGTGCACAATTCCAGTTGGACATCAGCTTACTCTCTCCCAGCACTCCCATTTTTAGTTATACCATGTATGGATGGTAAGAGGGATCTGTTAGGCAGCAACTTGGGGCCAGATATTACTAACTCAAGCTTCCTGCCTTACCAGTCATCCCAGAGACTGCATAACTAAGTTCATGTGGGGTCAGTGGAATCAATAAATCCAGACAGAATTCAAAGGGTTCTTCAGGGAACCAACTCTTATATATGTCACACAGTTAATACATAATTCAGCTAAAATATCCATGGACAGTTAATAAATAATTCAGATAAAATATCCATGGACAGTTGAGAGTTGGCTGTACTTTTGAAACTACTGCAGTGTAGTTTTTAACTTTATATTAGCCTATTGAAAAGATAGGAGGAACACAGGCTGACTTTAAGGTATTTATTGACTTGTGAATAATGAATGTTTTTTCACAATATCATATCACATGCCAGTTGTTAACTTAGTATGTACAGTTACTTCAGACAACATCTGCTTGGATACTGAATACTCTGGTTTTCACTATTCATGCTTCCCAGCACTAATTAAGACTTTTTACTGGCTCATATTGCTGTTGGCAAAATTATGGTGTGCCTTCTTATGATTCTTTTAATGAAATCTGTGTTTTGATTCAAAGTGGGCAGAGTGCCTCCTCATTTCAGAATTTGTATGATTAGAAAGATTAGGTCAGCTCTGATACAAGCTTGTCATTCTCAAAAAACAAACTCAGTTTTGATGTCCACAATTTATAAGCTTTCAATTAAAACATTAAAAATTGTAAGCAATAAATAAGGATATATAGATGAGAATTTTCCTATCGAGTTTTTGTCATAGTTTTTATCTCAGTTCTCAAAAACTTTGTTAATGAAGTGTGAGCAAAGCCAAAAAGACTAAGATTTGCCAGTAACAAAACTCATAAGGTTATTTGGAATGTTTTCTGTGTGCATATTTTCTGAAGTCTGCTTTTGGAATCCATCATGGTGTTCAACAGCTAGACATTAACAGCATTTATAATGAAATACTGAATTGGCAGATAAACCAAGCTGATTCATCACAATGTGCTGCAGAAGGAACAGCCAGTTTGCTCTCCACATAAATATCTAAGCTTGTTTCTGGTAGAAACCAGAAATAAACCAGAAACCAGGCAAATATCAAGGTTGTGCTGTTCCCTTTTCAAGCCTTTTGGGTTTTGCTAGGGTTTTCTGTTTGTTTCAACCACTGTATTTAATAAACTATAACTGCATTTCTGCCTGAGTCTGTTAAAAAACAACAAAACCCCCTCTACTTTGTGTAGTCAAATAAAATGCCAGCTCGGGTGATCCAGTGAATTGGTACACATGTAATTAGCTGTCAGAATTCATCTTTGTAAATAGAAGGCCACAGGTGGGCAGGCAAACTGATGGTGGTATTCAGGTTTTGTCATAGAAAATACAATGTGGTGTAACTGGAAAACTTAAAGGGGGCTACTCTGGAACATCAGAAAAACACAACAGTATTTCTTTCCCAGACTGTGGTGTATGCCCTGCTGTCTACCATCCTGAACAACTCTGGAAAAATTTTCCACTGAAACAAATTAGCAGGAAAAAACTAGTAATGTCAAAACCATGGAAAGAAAAAGCAGCACTTTTGGTTAAAAGAAGCAAAACACATTTGCAATTCTTCTCTAATTAAAACACTGTTGTTTATGCGCAAATGCAAATTTATGCAGCTGTCAAACTAGGCTGGCATCAACATGGCAAAATTTTTTGACTCACAGAGAAATAAATAACAAATGCATGGAACTTTTCAGCAGGAGGCCTTATTGCTGTTTCCCTTTACTTTCCCACCAGGTGTCACTCTGCCAACCTGAATGGTTTGTACTACAGAGGTCCCTACACTGCCAAGACAGACAACGGGATTGTTTGGTACACCTGGCATGGGTGGTGGTATTCTCTGAAATCTGTTGTCATGAAGGTCAGACCGGCAGACTTTGAATGTAATATTGTTTAAATATTCTATTAACACGATTCACCTGATTAATCTTTTAGGAAATTAATTCCAAAATCAAAATGGGCAGATTTTTAGTTTTCAATCTATGCATATATAAATTTGGAATGATTCCTCTGCAACCAGTAGTTTTATGAGATGTAAGTGAAAAGACAAGATAGCCTATGAAGCTTTAGATACAAATATTAATGCTAATGGGTCCAAGTGTTTTTTTAAAAAGGCAAGTGTTCACCTAGGAATAAGGACATCTTCATTAAGATGGCAAATTTTTGCCTTTCCAGTAACTTCAAATCCTTTCACCCATAAACAATGGCATTGTTACTGTGCTGTCTCAAAAATGAAAAATAATTGTACTTACACAATAAAAACCCTACTCAAATAGAAGCATAAGGTTTACTCAGTGGATGGAACATGCCTGCTTTGGAAAGGTTCAAGACTTTAGGAATGAGTTTCCTGTAAATCCCTCTGATGTAAAGGTTGTATGTGTTGTGTACACAGTGTACAAAAAAGGTTTAAAGAATGAGGCAGGAACTGAAGAAAGAGAAGGGGTGCTGCCAGGGTACAATCAATTGAATCCAGCATAGAGAAGTGGATTGTCTGTTGTTTGCTGAGGCATTTCTAGGGCTGGTCACAACATTTCAATAATTTTCAAACATTTAAAAACGTTTTTAGACAGACAGTAATTATGCTTTTCTCCTTCTTGGTAACCATAATGCTTTTTCTTTTTTCTTTTTCTCTTTTTCTTTTTTTTTTTTTTTGTCTTTTTTTTTTCCTTTTTTTTTTGTTAGATTTTACAAATCTAATTTTGAATGTCCTGTCCAGTCACTTCCTCTCCTTTCCCTATGTACTTGTCTGAACTCTCTGGGCTTTTCTCCATCTCAAGTTGCATATCCATATTTTTCTTGTACAAGAATAATGGTAAGAGAGACTTTGCTTACCCCTGGCTTTTGTGCCTGGCACTACAATAGACTCTAATAGCCAGTAATAACAAGAGTTGCTGATTAGTGTTTGCTGCCCTGGAGAAGATAGGAATACTCTCTAGAAAGCTATCCAATGAAATGTAGTCCATTTCTGCTGGGCAGATGCAAATGAAGACTTCAAAGAAAGTATGGACCTAAGCTTGCTTTCCTAAAATAATTTTGCTTTTGAGGCTGAACTGCCACTCTCTCTTCCCCTCTCCAAATACAGTTTTGAACATGGCAGCCACTTTCAATCATGCTTAAAATAATTAAACTAAGATTTGGTAAAGGTCAGTTTATAACTACATTGCTATGAATACAGGACAGCTGAATTATAACTCTTTGCATGGCAATTTTTCCTTCCATTTTCATCCTCCCAAAATAAAAGTTTGTAAAGAATCCTTGAGAGAATTGCATGGAATAAGGGAGGGAGGATGTTTGTAACAACTGGGGGAAGAGAGTTCTTATGAAACAATCTCACTCAATAAGATAAATCATGCTACACCTAAACAAAAACAAACAAAAAAGTGTGGAGAAAAAACAGGGCTCAGGCAGCTAAAATAATGTTATAATGCAAAAATTGTGCCAATGAAAATCTGCAGTATAAAGCTTATAAGGTGTCTTTTTTTTGTGGTAATAGCAGATATTCTAGATAATCCAGTCTTTCTCTTGATGTATCAACTGATACTGTGCTAGAGATTTCTAGCCTTTAGCACATCCCTGTACCCATGCATGAGAGGACCAATGAACAGCTATTCACCTGCTTATTTTGAACTTTGTTTAATTAGTTTCACCAAATTATACTTGGTATCTGGGAGGAAGGCCCTTCTTGTGTGTGTGTAAGGGGGTTAAGGGGGAGGGAGGGAAGTAAAGAGAGAGAGGGAAAGAGAGAGAGAGAGATAGTAAGAGAAATTCAACATTAAAACAGAAGATCTGATAAAGTATTTTTATTCAATTTTATTACATGTAACTGAAATTGGGTTCCTATGTAACTATGCAAATGTCTGTAGGTATGGGTTATTAATAATGTGATGGAAGTTTTGGAGTAGTTGAAAAAATGTTGTAAGTTCAGTATTTCCCATAATAATTTTCAAATTATTTTTTCACTCTAAGAGGAGAAAGCTTTAATTATTAGGAAAAAAAACCCCAAACGAACAGAATGCCATTATGTAGGATTTGTAAAAACATCTTTATTTTTTCACTAAAATGGAAAGATTAACTCATGAATTTGGAGAGTATCAAGGCATATCATATTCCACCAAAATAAAAGACAAGGAAGATTCATGCATAGGAAAGTTGGATTTTCAGTACAAAAAAAAAGAAAAAATACTTTGAAAATTTACAGATAGTGCTCACAAAATCTATGATAATTTTTAATATACTGCAACATAAATCCTAATGAAATCTTTTGGCTGAGTGAGGGTGCTTTTGACATATTCTGATATAAAATTTAACTCCTTTTCTTTACTGTAAATCATAAAATGAAGAAGACTCAAATCTGTCTTTGTACATCTTCAAATGCACTTAGATGTTTATTTGGACTGAATGCTCTTCTGAACAAGGAAGCATCTAGCATACTGTCAGCAATATACAAATATTGTATTTTTAATTTCCACCACTTTTCCATGGCCTTTCTTTGTGCAATAAATCTTTCTGACCACATGAAAAGTATGTGAAAGTGTTGTAATTCAAAATGGTCATATAATTGTTCTTAAATAAACAAACATTTATTTTCAAAAGGGAAGTTTTAATAGCTACCAGGCAAGACACAAGGTTGGGAGAGAATTCTTTCCTCTGCCAGGCTTGCCTGTTCACATGAATTTATTTTCTTAACAGGTACAAACATGTTCTAAATAGTCTTTATTATTACAAGATAGCAGAACACAGGCCAGTTTATTTGTTCTGGTGTTAGACAGAACATTGTTCCCAAACAGCTGAAAATGAATACATACTATTTCATAGAAATCATTTAACCCAAAAGAAGAAGAAGAATTGAGGAAATAGCAATGAAAATGTTTTGTTAGTCATGTTAATAAAGAACATCATGATATCTACCAGCAATGTGGAATCAAAAATATATATTTTTGTAATATCTGTTCAAGGGAAACACTCGTATTTTATTTCTATGTCTGTGTTCTTGCATTTGCTCAACATATTGGAGAGTAAAAGAATGGAAACCACAATCCCAGATGAATTAAATGAACATTAACAGAGCCTTTTATGTTACAGAATTTGTTTTCCCTAGAATATGTAGGATGCATTGATAGAGCTGAGGTACTAAAGTCTGGCCTTCCACAGGAGATTCTTCTCTTCAGCTCTAATGTTTTGCTACAGTCTACCTCTCCTCACCATTCCCAAAACTGTTACTTCTCATACCAATATCTGAATGCCTTTTGTAAGTATAACATTTTGTTCTGTCAGAGCTACTTCTTCTTGCTCTTGAAATGGTACACCCAGAAAGGGGATTTGAACCACAGGTTGCCCAGTCTGTCAACATTCCTGTCATGTTCCTTTAGTTCACTTCTCATCTCAAAAGAACAAGCTAATTTTTTGCTCATTTTTCGTCAGCAATAAGTTCTCTTTGGCAGTTGTAACAGAGGTAGAAAGAGCAGAAGTATCCAGGCAAGTATTCTGTATCTAAATTTTGAAAAATTGGAAACATTTACACTTATTTCTGGGTTGTGGGGTTGGGTGTTTTTTTGTTTGGTTGGTTTTGGGTTTTTTTTTTGTGGGGGGAGGGTGGGTTTGTTGGTTTTTTAAAAATTATGAAGTGGTCAACTTGGAAAGCAAAAATGGAGCTTTCAAAACCAGGAAGTACTTTGAAATGAGTGTGAGTATGCTTGCTATTTCCTCAGAGCAGGTCTGAGAATTGGGAATTTGGTAAGGCTTCAAATATTTAGCTAAAATCCATATGCTCAGAGGAAGGTTCAAATTTTTGTTGAAGTGCTTCTTCAAAGAGGGTATAAAACTTCACAGTGATAGTGGCTTTTTTGATGCTTAATTAAGTTTTTTTTGTTGAATACACAGTGTTCATCAAAATTTTTCTTTTCCAAGTACCTGAGGGTCCTCTTAATCTTTGTTTAGTGCATGATGAAATCCAGCTTGTCATTGCTATATCTTCAGTTAACTAAGACAGTTCCTCTTAATCCCACCCCAATGGTAAATAGACTGCATCAGAAACATAATGCTGATACACAAACACTGAATAAACAACCTTGGGGCCAGCCAAATTCATGTTTGTTTGCTTGCAGAAGAAGCAAAATATGGCTTTTGCATACGAACCACAAGCAAACCATCTTGTAGCTCACTTTTCTGTCCTTCCTCAGCAAGCCATAAACACCTGTGTATAAGTTCCTTTTACCTTTTTTTGTACAGAATTAAGCTGGGCTTTTTTTTCTTCCTGTCTTAATGACAGTCAGATTAAAGACCTGTTAGTTGTCATTTGCATACCTGTGACTGTCTGTCCTAAGGAACCTGGGTGGCTCTGAGGTTCTGCAGAACCTGAGCAAAGGCTCCGAGCAGCTAAAGGATGTTCTTAAGGCGCCTATAATGGCAGTTGTGAGAACAGACTGGACTGAATTATTTAATGAATATGTCACCCAACACTACTGGCAGGAAGATAAACAGATTCCTCTTACAGGTAAATGGTTCTCACAAATGATTACCTGAATTTCAGTGCATCCAGTTTTGTTGTCCTTGCAAAAGGTCACAATTTTCAATCCATGCAAAATTATATTGCCATGGGAGCCCCTGGTCTGGCACTTTATGCAACATGATAGTTCATATTAAATGAACTTAGAACATTAGTTGAACACAGGCAAGTGGCATATGAGCCAAAATGGTTTTATGTTAGTGATATCCTGCACTAGATGGTGCTCTGTATGTGGGTTTTATTGGGCAATACTAAATTCATAAGATAGTACAACATTTCTCCTGATTAAGTTAATTATTAAATGATAAAAAATAAGGGAAAAATATTTAGGTTAACTTTGTCCTTAACTAATTTTTTAAATAATACATGAGTACCTGAGGTTAACTTAATGG